GGTACCCAAGGTACCCATGGTACCCAAGGTACTCACGGTACCCAAGGTACCCAAGATACCCGAGGTACTCATGGTACCTAAGGTACCTGCGGTGCCCGAAGTACCCGAGGTACCAGAGGTACTCATGGTACCCAAGGTACTCAAGGTACCCGAGGTACCCAAGGTACTCCGGGTACCGGGGTACCCAAGGTACTCGAGGTACCTAAGGTACTCGAAGTACCCAAGGTACCCGAAGTACTCAAGGTACTCAAGGTACTTAAGGTACTAAAGGTACCCAAGGTACCCAAGGTACTCATAGTACCCAAGGTACCCAAGGTACCCATGGTACACAAGGTACCCAAGGTACCCAAGGTACCCAAGGTACTCAAGGTACCCATGGTACTCAAGGTACTCATGGTACCCAAGGTACTCAAAGTACCCATGGTACCCAAGGTCCTAGAGGTACCCAAGGTACTCAAGGTACCCAAGGTACCCGAGGTACCCGAAGTACCCAAAGTACTTGAGGTACCCGAGGTACTCATGGTACCCAAGGTACCCGAGGTACCCGAAGTACTAAAGGTACTTAAGGTACCGGAGGTACCGAGTACTTTCTATTTTTAAATTCAAAATAAATATTAGAAAGTACTGTTACGGTACTGGTACCGGTACTTTAGGAGTACCTCGGTACCCGTACTCGGTACCGGTACCCATGGAACCAAGCCAAATGGTACCCGGTACGCGTACCAATTTTTTACACATAGTACTGGTACAGTACCTGGTACCATTGTCGTTTCATGAAATTGAGGGAGCAAGGAAACCCGAAGACCGCTAGGGTATGAGGGGCCGGTCATTGAGGGGAGGTTCAATGAAGGAGGCAAGGTAAGAGCAGAGAAGGGACAAGGGAAGGGAAGGAAAGGGTCAAGGGAAGGGAAGGGACATGGGAAGGGTCAAGGGAAGTGTCAAGGGAAGGGACGAGGGGAAGGAAGGGAAGGGAAGGGACGAGGGTAGGGAAGGAAAGGGTCAAGGGAAGGGAAGGGACACGGGAAGGGTCAAGGGAAGGGAAGGGAAAGGTAAAGAAAAAGGTCGAGGGAAGGGGAGGATGGGGTCCGAGGGATGGGATGGGTCAAGTGTAGGGACAAGGTCCCTTCCCTTGTCCCTACCAAACGGAACGGCAGGAACACCCTACCAGAGCCCCCCTCACCTCGCGAGGGCAAAAATAATTATATTCTTCTTCAAATTATTTAAACACCCGAGCAGGGACTCGAACCCTGGACCCTCTGCTTAGGAAGCAGATGCGCTGTCCACTGCGCTACACGGGCTCAAGCGTGTTTAGAATGTTATTCTAATAATATAAGAAAATAAAATAAATGAGCAGTGGTGGCCACGACAAAGGGCAGTTCATTGTTCATAGTTCACCCAGTGCATTACCATGACCATGTGCAGCAGAGGCGCTGGTCCACGGACTGGTCTGAGGGCCTGCGGGACCAGCCCCAACACATCCTCAAGCCACTAGTCGGATTGGAATTTCTTAAAATCATACATCATGGCCTAAAATTGCAAAGGTCCTCGCTGAAGTGCCCTGACCATCTGAGCACATTTGCTTTGTGCTTGGACTTTCGGATTTTAATGCGTGATTCAAAAATTTAAAAAAGCCCGACCCAGACACATTGCAGCCAGCGCATGAGTGCAGGTAGCATGCTTGTTATTTGGCTCAGTCCCCTCATGCCTGGGCTGTGGGGTGAGCAGATGCGGACCATGCAGGGTGAGGATATACGCGGTGCAGCACGTTATGTGTCTTTGCATATGGTGGTGGGGATTGCTGCTTGGATAATCAAGTGCAAGCCGTGTGTGACCACACGCAGGAACAGCAAGTATGTGGCAACGTTATCAATGGCGCAGGAAGCTCTGTGTACCGTGTCAGATGGGCTCGGGCAGAGACAAGATGCTGCTCACCCCTGCACACATGTGTAACCCGACGACATCACCACTGCCGCGCGCGTTTCGTGCATTCCATGCCAGACCATGCAAGCCAGGGTTGCACGCTACAGTCTCAAGAAGGCTACGCTAAGGCAGTAGCCCTTTTTTGATATTCAAAATCTCAAATGCATTTTAGGCTTTTTTATCCCTTAAATTCATGTTCATACTTTATGCTCTCTCTGATGTCTGAAAATTTTGGGTGGGTGAGAAGGCCATTTGGCACGCTACGGAGGCTGGCTACAGCTACGGCTGCGCTACGATTTGCCACAGTAGCACAGTAGCGTGCAACCCTGATGCAAGCAAAGCACACTGATGTGTGTGTTCCGCGTAAGCAGACTCTTCGCGCATAAATGCGTATTACGTTGAGGTTCACTGTTCCTCTGAGCGGAACCTCAGATGCCGCATAATCAAAGATGTACGCGATGTTTGAGTGCTTCCTGACAAGCTACCACCAGGTAATAGGAGAAGGTCCTGGGTTCGAATTGCACCACCGTTGCTCTCTCTTGATCTTTCATTCCTGTGTAATGCTTGACATCCTGGGCTTTAGTACCGCCTCCGGTTGTACCTCTATCTTTGGCACCTGCAACAGCTATCTGCTGGAGTGTACCACAGGTGCTCCCCCACCTAGCTGCAGCATACCTGACTATTTTGAATCGACGATTCACTTTTATAATTACTCGAAAGCTTAAGTTCGCCTTAGAGCCATTTTCCACACCAAAAACGAAAGGGGGTCAGAAGGAACAAATAGGCCGCAGCTCTGTCAACTGAGGTTGATTGAGGTTCAAACTATGAGTCTATGCTGGGCAGCAACCAGCGTGCATGAGAAAAGTAAAAAGTAAAAGTCTAGCCTGGATAGCACGTCTCATTCCTAAAGAGAAGGTCCTGGGTTCAAATCCCAGCTCGGATGGAAAATCCCACAATGGAGGGGCTGGCGAGGCTCTGTTGTGTCGAAAGTCTCGCCCCAGAGGAATGGCAAGATTTTTAATCTGGGATTGCAAGGATCCCTCCCCAAATTGATGCTCTAGGTTCACAGATCACAAGGCGTATTCCAATTTCTTAGGGTGGAGCCCACTTTTGGGACATATATGTTTTTTCCGGGGTTCTTTGACTGAAAGGATAAAGCTTTAAGCCACCCAGGCCACCTCAGCTCATGAGAAGGGTTTACCCAGGGCCGTGTAACGATATAAATAATGGAACAAGCAAAATGCTCTCAAGCGTCATCCGGGCGCATCAGTTTTTCAGTGGCTCAGTCGCACAGTCAACTGTTACATTTGGTGGAGCTGTTCTGTTCGAAACCCACCGTCCTCTGTGCACATACTTTGTTCAGCCGTCGTGGAGGTCGGTGTCTAACTGGGGGAGGTATGTAACGATATAAATAATGAAACAAGCGGGGTGCTCTCAAGCGTCATCCGGGCGCATCAGTTTTTCAGTGGCTCAGTCGCTGAGTCATCTGTTACAGGCCGATTGGAAGCTAATTTGCGCTGATTCTGGATCTATTGCCTGGTTCATGGTCAAGTCCCCTTGCCCAGCTGAGGTTACGAGGACTGCACGGAAGCGTTCCGTCCCAGCCAAAAAAATGGATTTTCCACCAAATTCATTGGAATTTCAATGTAATGCTGTACCTCCGCTTTGAGTTGGCATAGACGTGGTAGAGACAACGTACCACAACACTCGTTGCAACAACACTCTCATGGAGACATGCTATCGTGTGGGGTGCTCGAAGCATGGAGGTAGGAGAGTTACAACTGCCTAGCACTGTCGACACAAATCCTTTGCCCTCGTGTGCATGAGCAGGGGGGGGTGCAGAGGGGGGCGCAGGCCCCCCC